TTTGGCAGGCTTTCCCTGCCCCCCCCTCACCTTCTGGAGACAGAGACAGGAACTTTTCCTGACTCTCTCCTCCTCCCCACCCCCTTCAGGAGATGGGCAACCTCCCCATCTTTGTTCCCTTCCCCCCACCCCAATCTTTTAGGAGACAGCTTTTTGCTGGTTCATTGCTGGCTTTTTTAACATAGCTGGTTCCCTGCGCTTTTTCACGGGGAACCAGCTATTTCACGGGAGATTGCCAATTACACAATTTCTGTGAAATCCATGAAGTTGTGCATTTGGTAGGCCCCTAGAGATAGGATAACAATGTTGTAGTAAGTCTTTTTTAGTGGATTCTAAGCTATTAGGGTTATAGCTTCTCTCGCATTAGGAGGGAGAGTTTTAATTACGTTTTGCCTAGAAAACCATTCCATACACTCTCCTCTTTGCTCCAGGGAAGTACACTAAGTACTTGCTATCATAATCTAAGGTTTTGTAATGATAAGCATATGGAAATGGCAAAAGCTTTCCATTTACTTTTAACCTATCACAAACAGAACCATAGATAAGATGCAGTGTTTTTTTATGTCACAGGGACCACAGGATGCAATGAATTAAGCTCTTCATACACTGTTCCCTGTTAAAGTTATACATTTTCACCTGTAAAAACCACACATTTGACCACACAGTGATTTCTGAGCTGCCACATTTGTTCCCTATACTTAAAAGTTCAACAAATGAAATAGGCCATGCTATTCATTCTTAAGTTCCATTAAATCAAGGCACACTGAATAAAGGCTATTCTGATCATCTGGATTAAGGTAAAACATTAATTAAAGTTTAAACAGCCAGTTCTGAATACCTACATATTCTAAAAAACTCCATGCGATTCAGAAGGGAACCTGCAGGCCAAGGTTGGGGTTTAAATCCCTCCTCAGTCCTACATGCCCAGGCCTGGCCCCGACCCAGCTCAGCTTCCCTGTCAAAGCAAAGGGCTGCTTTAGTGCCCCCGGGGTTCTGGGCTACTGCAGGCATGTGCCTGCATTTCCTGAATGAAAGGGGAACATCTATCCACTTGCAAACCAGTTCAATCTCTGCAGGTTAGACAAACCTGCAAATATTAAATCAATTCAGACTTGGTCTTTTTGAATATCTGTTCCTAGCCCAGGTTCACTCTATCCTGTCATATATCCCTTCCAGGACCTTATGCAGCTCCATCTTGAAATAAATTAGGTTCCCTGCCCCCACTGTTGTATGGAAAGCCATTCCTGGACTTTATGCCTCTGACTGTTAGAAACCTTTAATTACTTTCCAAAGCAAGCTCATTCACTGCCCACTTATGCTCATTTTGATACTTTACCAGCGTTGTCCCTTAACTTAAATAGCTCTTTGCCCACCTAGACACTTAATCGCAAACTCCTAAACATTTACATGATAACAAAACAATATCCCATATCCCCTCCCAACCTTCCTTCTGTTAAGTTAAAGAAATAAAACCCTTTTGGTCTCCTCTGGAAGCCAGTGCTCCCCATTTTCTAATCAACCTAGCAGCTTTTCTGTGCACCTGTTCCACTATGAATTGGCTTTTTTTGAACACAGACGACCTGAACTGTACACAATATTCTAGATGAGATCTTTATGCCCTTGTGCAAGGTACTGAAACTGTTCTGGAACCTTGCACAGCACTGAAGTTAATTAATGGGCTTGTACTTGCCCAGATGTTCCCTTCCCAACCCTTTTTGAACACAAAGGGTGTATCGAGACTAGCGCGCATGTGCATTTCCCCAGAGACAAACAGCAGCGGTACTGCTGCTAACTGCCCCTGGGAAATGCCCTCTTGTGCACAACAAACTGCCCTGGGTGGGGTAGGGGAGGCTGAGACTAACACCTGGGCTGGCCCCAGCAGCCTTACCTGGGGTCCTGGGGGCTTCTCCAGGCTGCTGCAGCAGTGGTGATCTGGGCACGTGGAGCATGGCTCTGGCTGGCCAGGCTCCGGTTTCAGGTGCTACACACTGCCAGCTATGTGCACTGCCCCACTTGAAACTGAACTTTTTTTAACTGGGTTTTTTGGGGTTTTTTTGTTTGTTTGTTTGGGTTTTTTTTAGATACCAGGATTTTCCAGCATCTAACTGTGGGTCCGCGCTGCAAATATGCAGTGCAAAGAACCTTTTCATGTGTGCCACATGAGTTTTGCAGTGCCTCTAAAGCAGGGGTGGGCAAAATGGTGGATACAGCCAGCAGCCAGACTCCGTTTCCCAGCAGCCCCTGCCCACGTGGCTGTGACTGATTTCCATGGGTCTCCTAGTGGCGCCAGGGTTTCACCGGCCCCAGCAGCACTGGCAGGGCACGTGGCTGGGTGGGGAGCTGCTCTGGGGCCGGAATCTTGCAGTCATGACAGCATGGTCCAGAGCTGGGGCAGAGCCATGATCTACTGCCTGCATGCCTCTGCCCAGGAAATGTGGACAGTGGATCACAGCTCTGCCTTGACTCTAGACCACACTGTCACCACCACAAGATCCCAGCCCCGGAGCAGCTCCATGCCTAGCAATACGCCCTGGCAGCGTTGTTGGGGACAATCTCCATGGAAAACCTGGCCCTGCAATGTCACAGCCTCACTGCTCCTGGAGTCTCCATGGAAACCAGCTGCAGTGACAGGTAGGGTCAGCTGGGAAATGGAGTCTGCTGCAGGCCAGACTATGCCCACCCCTGCTCTAACCTTTGAGGTGCTGCAAAGTGCATGCGACTTATCTGGACATGCCCAAATAGTACAGTCCCCACCCCTGGATTGATGGTATTCAATAAAAATCCTGCTACTGGACTTGTGATTCCATGTTCCAGTTATTTCAATATTCTGGAATGGAGACTGTCCAAGTGGGCCCACGTTTTGCTTCCTTCTCAGAAATAGGTGCGCTACCATTATCCTCATATACTTGGCTTTGAGCAATCAAAACCCAGAGTTATTGATTATTTTCATTATGATGCATGTATAATGTCTGGTATTGAACTCAGCAGCTGAAATTTTCTGTGCATCCACACACACAAGATTCTGTAGCACAGAATCTAACAAAGTAATAACAAAAGTAGAAGTATAAACAAGAGAGGTATAAATCCTGTAGCAGCTTTTCTAAAACCACTTGCTTTATCTGCATCAGAGCAGTGACTGAAAAGTAAACAGAACCTCAAGTTGTGCAACACCTGGCACTGCTTCCCTTCCTCCCACACCGCATGCATAAACTGTGCCACTCTGTACCTGTTTAAAAGAGCTTTGTGTATTTAAAAACATTAAGATAGAAACTTGTGACCTGAGACAGAAGGCAACAGCAGGCTACCCTGAAACCCTTGGGCTACCTATCTGGGTTTTTTCATGCAAAAATGGGGATGACTGATCAGGTGGCAGTTAAGGCTATTGATCATTTACAGACTCACAAATGCTTCTGTGATGAGAGTCTTTAATCGTTAATAGCCAGTCACAGTAACTCTCACTTTGTGCGGATACAAAATGCAGGGGTGTTGGAAAATGAGAACCACAAGAGCCACAATTTCTTTCTTTATTGCTTTATGCAGTGCCACAAAAACTCAGGCCCTCTTCTATGATGCTCAAGGCAATGGTTTACTTTCAATGTACAGTATGAGATTTTACAATCCTATATGACCTACTAGGACTTCTCT